ACAATAAGGGACCCAAAGAACCGGGAAGGTCGCTATTTCGCCAGAAGCTGGCGATTTTAACCCCCCCTGCACCCGTGGTGGGGGGTGGGGCAGCGTGGCAAGGGTCCTGGAAGGCTCCCTTGGACCCTTGCGACGCTCCCCCCCACGGGGCCAGTGGGGGCGAAATCACCACCTTCGCTCCATAAGACGCACAGACTTTCTACCCCCCCTTTTGGAGGGGAAAAAAGTGCGTCTTACGGAGCAAAAAATACGGTATTTGTTTTTTAAAAAACTGGACACTTCTGGAAACACTTGTCTAAACCTTAGCAATAATGAGGCTCAGTTTGATGGATGAATATGAAATGCAGGAGCAAAAGAACAGATTTCTGAATGGCAGGCAGGAAATGACAATATCTGATACTCTCGGGGGGGGGGAAGCAAAGCAAAGTGTACTGCCTATATATCACCCTATAGTGCTCTAGACTAACAAATATAGCTCAATAAGAAGCTGACAGCATATACTAAGATCCAGGTCTATAGAGCATGTGTCCTGAGTACATTCCTGTACTGCAGTGAGTCCTGGACCCTTTGTGCATGGCAGGAGAGGAAGCTGAACACGTTCCATATGCATTGTCTCCGATGGAGTTTTGGTATCACCTGGAAGGACTAAGTTACAAATAGAGTAGTCCTAGAATGAGCTGGAATTTTTTAGCATGTATACATTACTGAAACAGCAACGCCTATGGTGGCTCAGGCAAGTCTTGAGAATGGCTGACGGTTGGATTCCAAAAGATCTCCTGTATGGAGAATTAGTGCAGGGAAATCACCCCAGAGGGAGACCACAGCTGCGATACAAGGATATCTGCAAGTGGGATCTGAAGGCCTTGGAAATTGACCTCAACAGATGGGAAACCCTGACATATGAGTGTTCAGCCTGGAGGCAGGCGGTGGAGCATGGCCTCTCCCAATTTGAAGAGACCCTTGTTCAGCAGGCTGAGGCAGAGACAGTCCCAAAACCAGCAAAATCAGGGAGCTGGACAGGGGACAGATTGTATTTGTCTTCAGTGTGGAAGGGATTGTCACTCTCAAATTGGCCTTCTCAGCCACACTAGACGCTGTGCTGAGAGCACATTACCATAGTCTCTTGAGACTGAAGGATGCCTAATTTTTAAGTGCTTAAAGCATTCTCTGGGTCGTTTATAATTTTTTAAAAAATTAATTATACAGGATACTCATTGCCCCCCACCCCAGCAAGCTGAGTACTCATTTTACCAAGGATGGAAGGCTGACCTGGCTGTGACATTCATTGATATTGAATGCTGGCCATGAGCAAAGTTTTCGTTGCAATGCTGCATTTTAACCACTGCATAAGATTTTCACTTAGCTGGATTTTTTGACCACTATCCTGTGCAATATTTAAACATAATTCCACTTGCTGAAGCTGCTGTGATAACATAACCAGATTATATGACCATGCATTTGATGATATTTAACCAGCACCTCAGCAGATTACTGCAGCAGCTTCTGCAGCTCAAGCTTCATACATGTAAGTATTAAACATTATACTGGCCTTTAAAAAGAAGAACTAGCTAAATAATATTTCTAGTGTAGACTAAAGAACACCACTCTTCCCTAAGTGTTAAATCCTCTTATCTCCACTATGTATTCATTAAGCTGGAATCACTAAATAATGTTTTGTCCTGTTTATGGACTGAAAAATTACCCGTTAGAACTTTGCAACCCATATGAATCAATAAACGTATGAAAGATTCAGATACTCAATGGGAGAAAGAACCACAGCATTTTGGAACAGATACCACAGATCTGACCAGATTATAGCACTTCACCCCACGTCTTTCTCTGGGCCAAATCTGGACATTGAAATCCCCACTGAGATGTCAGTCAAAATGTCAAGAAAATGGGCTAGCATGTTACTTTAGCAGCGGATCTGGGGAACCAGTCTATAATTGTTCACATCCTCTTCATGGTGCTCACCAAGAAGACCCCATGATTTCCTGAAATCAGTCTTGATTTTGACATTAACACTGTCTTTTCTGCATCAAGCAGAATTTTGAAGAAGAGTTCCCAATTCATAGCCAGATATCTATCCTTTTATTCCTAGTATCCCAGTGTAGAAACTGTGAAGCAGGCAGGAGGTTTGAATGTTACTGAGGTTTTAATATGGTAACTTTATCTACAGGTAGAACTTTTGAACTCTTTCCTTTAGTGATGATAACTGATTCTGTTATCTTTATATTTGCCCAATAAAGTTACAGTTAATAAATGAGATGGGATAGTGGGAAAATATTAGAAAAATTGTCTCCAACAATTGTAATGAACTTTGACACTTTCACTTTGTCAGGAGCAACACGTTTTTGCCAAAAGACCCGAGTGTGTGCCTCGCATCTCCGTAAATACAATGATGCCCTGCTGATCAATGATACTCTTCGCATGATTGATGCCTTCAACAGCCTGGATGAGTTTTACCAGCTGGAAAAAACTATGAAGGATTTGCAGCATCCAGCAGAGCGTTACCTGGTCCAGCTCTTTGACGGTGAGAATTAGCAGTGGAAAAATTAAAGGAAATAAAGTAACTGAGAGTGGGCTTCCAAATGGTTTAAACCAGTAGGGAGAGGATTCCCCCCCCCCCACTATGCTGTTTTCCTGACCAAAATGGCCTCCAGGATTGCATTTCTCCTATATTGTAGGTTAAGAAAATTAAACAGCGGGGAAAATACAGGGATCTCTCTATTTATTCCAGAGGACAAATAAAAGTGTTGATGAGATCATTTTGACCAGAATATAGGGTATAGGAGAAGTAAGGAAAGTGTGGTTGTCCAGATGTTGTTGGACTGGAAGTTCTATCATCCTTCACATTGACTAGGCTGGCTAGGGCTTGCAAAAGATGGAAGGCTGCAATTCACACATATTGGATACAGAGGAACCGGTTCGAGAGCACGGCTCCCCTGCACTTTTCCACCAAATCAGAAGCCCCCACTGCAAACTCTGATGCTGCATTTTAATTGTGCAGACATAGTGAACATTGCTTTTTGGGATCCTAATTCTCTAAAGGAATGCAAATATGAGGGTGGGCAACAGTTAGCCTCCCTTAGTATATTTTTTGTGGGCCATCCCAGCAACCCCATACTTGTTAATTAGTGTTAAATGCTCTCAGTTTTTGGATCTAAAGAAACATCGTTCCCATTCATTAGGCATAAGAGTGTACCATCTGCGTCTTCTCACCCATTGATAAGATCTTTGTGTAATTGCAGGGAACAGGACACACCTTTTGGCCTTAGCTCAAAATGAGAACTATGAGAATCCCAACCTTGCTGTGCTGCAGCAAGTCCTCCAAGACCATTTCCAAGAAGAGAAGAGCTCACGGGGTATTGTGTTCAGCAGGACCCGCCAGAGTGCTCATTCCCTTCACCAGTGGGTGCAAGATAACGAGGCTTTTCGTGAACTTGGGATCAAACCTGGTGTCCTGACAGGGGCTGGCTATAGCAGCCACACAAAACACATGACACAGGTAAATCTAAGAAGGGGAAAGGTCCGGGCCTTGAATCCCAGTTCTGTTGCAGATCAAGGGGAGGACATAAGGCGGGTTTGCTTATCATTTGATTTTAAATATATACATGCGCATTGCTTGATTTTTCATAGGCTGCCGTTTTTTAGAAGAAATGTCTGAATTTATCTCCACTGAAATTCCTTGTATCAGAGTTGATATTGAGGTACTCTTAGATTTGCAGCTGTTGACAAATGGGCCATGATCCATCTCCCATATTACCCCTCCCTCTAATATGAAATTGGTCCAGGGATTGGCAGTAGAAAGAAACAGAGGTTTCTGAGGGACACCATGATGTGATTTCTGGTTTCTGTGTCAAACTTCCGAAACCACACTGGGGGTGGGGGTGGAGGTTACATCCTAAGGAGAATTACATCTGAGTACAATATATAAAGAGTGAATCTTAGAGTGGCTTGACTGTTTCAAACTTTTTCCTCTTTCTGCACCCTTGTCATGATAGCTCAAGGTGGCTTGCTCAGTTGATCTTGTACATCATGATACAGTATATTCTCTAAGGCCAAAGTCTCTTACGCAGACGTTCACTTTTCTTACATACACCAAGGGATCTGCAGGGTGAATTTTCAGGTAAAACCCTACGAAGTTTAGTAAATAATGAAGTGCTCTAGCCAAATTACAATCTCTTCCCCTGAAACAGCAGTGCTCCATTTTAAAGGCAGCCTAAAGACTTGGAAAATTAGTCAGGATGCTTAACTATCTCAGCAGAAGGGGCCTAGCAATACCCAAAGGAGGCCCTGCACATCATGTCCAGCAACCAAGTACATGGTGAAAATGGTGTCTGATGGCAATCTTTGAGGTTTACTTTGATGGCTACATTAAGGAGGGGGGGGAAGCTTCATATTGGTACCTGAATGAGCTTTATAGCTCTACTCCTGTTCCTTCCAGCAAGAACAACAAAATGTCATCCAACATTTTCGCAAGGGAGCGCTCAATTTACTGTTCTCTACCAGTGTAGCTGAGGAGGGCCTGGACATCCCCGAATGTAATATTGTGATCCGTTATGGGCTGATGACAAATGAGATTGCCATGATGCAGGTAAGTCAAATTCACTATCTGTGGTGAATCTTGTTAAAATTTGCTCTGTTGACAGATGTCATGCAGGAGAATGACAAAATGAGTATTTAATCCTGGGGAAAATCATAACACGAGTATTTCGGGTCATTAAAGAATATGGCTGCACTGAGAAGCTAGGAGAGTTGTTGTGGCTGTGCCTAGGCATAGGTGAGGGGAGTAGTTGGCCTGGAATTTTTGACGATGGGCCTAAATGTTGCCCCTTGCATCCTTTTTTCAGGCCAGGGGCCGTGCCCGTGCCCCAGAGAGCACCTACTCTGTTTTGGCCAAGGCTAACAGCAAGGAGGTGGCCCGAGAAAAGCTCAATGAGACTCTAGAGAGCTTGATGAATAAAGCTATTGCATCGGTGCAGCAGATGTCTGAGGAAGAATATCGCCTGAAGGTAAGTAAGCAGTGAGTAGACACTGGAAAAGCTGTCAAAGAGGCTGACTACACGGGTTGTTTAACTTGCTGTTTGAAGCGCTGCGGGGATGGGCTGGTATACTCTTAAAGACAGCAATCAAGCAATGTATTTGCTAGATTGCACCAGCTTGTTCCCAGAGCATTCCTACGTAAACCTTTCTGGCCTCTGTAAAGGGGCTTCTACTTTTCTGATGTGGGTAGGATCGCCATGGTTTGGATTTTGGTTCCAGTGCATGTGATCTCTGGAACTGATCCAAAGCAAGACTTCTTCTTTCAGTTTGCCGATCTCGTTAAACGGCTTAATAAGTAAGCCACTTCAGGATATGTATTGGCAAATTAATAACTTCACCTGCTTGGTACAGGGCAGAGGAATTTTTTGTTACTATATATAGACTATCACTGATGTGCTACATCAGTTATAAAATAAATAAATAAATACAGTATTTTCATTGCCTTGTCTTAAAGGGCTGGTCAAGAAACTCCCCTTTAAGGCTCTTTGAAGCAAAGCAAAGAGCATGCAACTTCACCTGCTTGGTACAGGGCAGAGGAAGTGAAAGAAATTTTTTGTTACTATATATAGACTATCACTGATGTGCTACATCAGTTATAAAATAAATAAATAAATACAGTATTTTCATTGCCTTGTCTTAAAGGGCTGGTCAAGAAACTCCCCTTTAAGGCTCTTTGAGGCAAAGCAAAGAGCATGCATGCATGCATACATGCGTGCATGCATGCGTGCATCATACATACATACATACATACATATGCAGCACAGCAGAGTTGGTCTACGTACAGTTAAAAAAATCCCCACATACCCTGCCCTCTGCTGAGCAGGCGAAATGATTAATTTGCCAATATCCTGAAGTGGCTCGCTTATTAAGCCACTTCATGATAGTGTCAGCAGCCATTTCTGTGTGAATGTTCAGGCTAGATTAGATTGTTCTAATCAATCCTGATCATTTCCAAGTGACCCACACTTGCTCACTCACTGTTACTAGTGTAGCCATACCGAAAGTCTCATGAAGTAGTGGTAGAATCCATTCATTAAGGAGTTTTTGCTAACCTTAACTTTATTGGGAGAGGAGGCGAGTAGTAAAACTACAATCAAACCAAATGTACAGAAGAATGTACTAAATTTATTAAGCCACTTCATGATAGTGTCAGCAGCCATTTCTGTGTGAATGTTCAGGCTAGATTAGATTGTTCTAATCAATCCTGATCATTTCCAAGTGGCCCATACTTGCTCACTCATTGTTACTAGTGTAGCCATACCGAAAGTCTCATGAAGTAGTGGTAGAATCCATTCATTAAGGAGTTTTGCTAACCTTCACTTTATTGGGAGAGGAGGAGAGTAGTAAAACTACAATCAAACTAAATGTACAGAAGAATCCCATGTGCAGCTCATGCTGATGTTTCAGAAGGTAGGTAGGACAGTGCATATTTGAATGTTCTCTCATGTATGAAAATGAATGCCCTGTATGCAAGAGACTAGCACATTATAGTGAAGCTTAGATTAACAGCCAGACTTGTGCCATGTACTTCTCCCTATTGTGTGGGCTGATTTTAAGATGTTACTTTAATATTGTTCATGTAAGGTACAAATGTTTAAGTAATTTTCCTCTTCAACAGCCCTGTGAGGTAAGACTGTAATTCCCATTTTGCAGATAAGATGACGTGGCTTAGTCTGACTTTCTACAGGTCATCCAAGAGCAGTGTGGATGAAGTAAATTGCATTCACTGGATCATGTTGGTTCCAGATGAAGAAAATAATGTGGAATGTAGGTTAAATCTAAATGAACGACTTGCAGGGCAGCTATTTTGCATTTCTAGTGAATGGAGCAGTGAAAATGACAAAGGGACCTTTTTGTGGAGTAATGTCTTCCAGCCTGGGAGGAATGAACAGGGGTCCTAGAAGGAAGAATAAATTATTTAAAACCAGTTTTCCTGCCTGCTTCTCACTTTCTTCTTGCAGAGCATATGCCATCCTTGGAATGATTAACATCTCTCAGGCTGCTACTCCTTTCTTTCCTATAGATTGCAAAGCTTCAGCATGAAGCCATTGTCATCCGTAGGGTGCGAAATGCTGGACGTAAGCAGCAACGCCAGCTCCATGATCCCGGCAATGTGCTCCTGTACTGCATCGGCTGCAACACAGCAGTCTGCCATGGCAGTGACCTGCGCAAAATCGAGAATATGCACCATGTGAACAACAATCCCAGCTTCAGGTGAGGCAAGTCTACAGGAGCAGAATCATTGTGACTGAATAGGACTAAATGGGCCTTTGACAGTCACCTTTTATTCCCCTGAGTTCCTGTTTCTCCACTTGTTTCTTTGCTCAAAACCACCGTGCAATTCTAAAGGGAAGAAAGGAACTTCACCAAAGGATAAAGTTGTGTGCATTTGCAGCTGGATAGGTGCAGGGCCAGATTCCAGCAGCTCTCCCTAGCCACATCGATTCAGGCAGTGGCTAAACAGGAAACAGATGGCTTTATTTACAAAGTGGAACACAGTTCTGAAAGTGGTTGACTACATTCTACATAGTAAGGTGATTGTCTGGCTTCATTCAATTATATATTTCCTATTTTACAAAATGTTGAAGGTTGTGTCACTGAACACAATCTTCAAAACTGGCTTCACTGAGAGCCAGAGAGTGGGCGGACACAATGGCCATCTATCAGAGTCACCAAGTTCTTTGGATCTTCATGTCCTTTTTATAGCGGAAAGGAACAAAGGATGGCCGAGAGGATGGAACAAGTCTCCTCGTCTGTCAGTGTCAGCTTGGCTCTTTGTGCACTGAAGGGGCTGAGCAGCTGTGGCTCTCCAGATGTTCACAGAATGTTACTCCTATCAGCCATAGCCATAATGGTGAGGGTTAATGGGTCCTCCAGATGTTGTTGGACTTCTAGTTGCCCCTAGTTTCCTAGCATTCTTTTTACAATACAGTTGATCAGGATGCCTCTGAAAAACCCACAAACAAGACATGAATCAGGGCATTCCCATTAGTTCCCTACATGCCATGTTTAAGAGTATACATTCAGTTTAATTTTAATGGCTAATAGTTACTAATAGACTCTTGGTGTGAAAATCTTATTTTAAAAAAATCAATGAAATAGAGGAGTGTATTTATTTTTACAAAGGTATGCATTGAAATGGGTTTTGGGGCAAAATGAGTTTTTGTATATTAGTGTTTGTGGCTTATGATGCAGTGTGTTCATGAGGGAAACACCTGTATTGGGCAATTGCAAAGTGACTTGGTTTGCATATGGACATACTATAGTAATCAGCAATGAGAAACTAGTAAACTGCTGGATAGCTTAGTGTCAGATGTGCTTTGATTTGAATTCCTGCACTGAGCAAGGGATTAGACTCAATGACCTTATAGGGCCCATCTGACTCAATTATTCTATGATTAGGCATCTGGCTGCAGAGCCAGAGGTTGGAAGTTCGATTCCCCACTGTGCTTCTGTGTTAAGGCCTGAATTTGATTATCCATAGGGTCATTTCAAGCTCTGCAATTCTAAGATGATTTATTACCAGTAGTATTAGTATTAATATTAACTTAAGAATGTCTTAGGGGGACGTGATGGCGCTGTGGGCTAAACCGCAGAAGCCTGTGCTGCAGGGTCAGAAGACCAGCAGTCGTAAGATCGAATCCACGCGACGGAGTGAGCTCCCGTCGCTTGTCCCAGCTCCCGCCAACCTAGCGGTTCGAAAGCATGCAAATGCAAGTAGATAAATAGGGACCACCTCGGTGGGAAGGTAACAGCGTTCCGTGTCTAAGTCGCACTGGCCATGTGACCACGGAAGATTGTCTTTGGACAAACGCTGGCTCTATGGCTTGGAAACGGGGGTGAGCACCGCCCCCTAGAGGCGAACACGACTGGACAAAAATTGTCAAGGGGAACCTTTACCTTTATCTTTAAGAATGTCTTATCTTCGTTGTAGACTATACTACAGAGCATCATTTGGCCATGTGGCAGTTCCTCGCCAATTCAAGGACTGGAAGCCAGGCAGCTCCATCAGCTGCAACAAATGTGGGCAGGTAAGTGCAACCAGGATACGCAGTGTGGTGTAGTGGATAAAATGATGGACTAGGACACAGGAGACCTGGGTTTGAATCCCTGTCCACCCATGGAAACTCACTGGGGGAATGGAACTGGTAAAACAATTTCTTCAACATCTCACTTGCTTTGAAAGCCCTATTAGGACTGTAAGTTCCAAGTGACCGCACAAAATATCAAGTACAACCAAGAGACAGATAGTGTATCATTCATTCCTAAACAAAGCATGTCATAATAGGAGATGTGTCTCTTCACCAGTCATGGATAGTAGTCCTAAAGTAATGGCCCTAACTCTGCTGCCCTGGCAGGCTTCTTTTAAATTACTCCTACTCATTTATAAACCTTATTTAGCAAGATAAGAGGGAAGGAAGTTCTCTTATAATTGAATCTCTCCTTTGGTCTCTAGAACCAGAAGAGAAAGCAAAACTTACATACTGTAATAGATCAGCAGGCAACTATGGAGGATACATTAACTTTAATACTGGATCAACATTTGGATGCATGACTTTCAATCTTTTAGATCATGCATGATTTGCTTAAATCTCTGGTCCATATGCCAAATCTCAATGCAGCTCTAAGCAGTTAGGCCATGAACTAGCACAAGGTTACATATAACTAAGGGTGCAGAAATAAGTGAATTTAAGGCTTATGTGCTGATCCTAAATACCTGAGGAACTACTGAGTAGCATCCAACAATCTACTTAAATATACCCGAGGCAAGAAAAATCCTCTCTTGTACCAAGTGTATCAGACATTGCCAATCACATGGGAAATAGACTGTAATTTTGGAATAAAGGCTAAATAACTTTGAAATGCCTGGATGATAGTCAACTTTTTGTCTAACAGTATTTCCTCTGTGTGGTGCTGGAATCATTAGAAATGCTGCTGATCTGAGTCAGTAACCTCACCTTTTTTTCTTTTGCTCATACAGCCTTGGGGAATGGAGATGATTTACCGTGAAATCACACTTCCTATGCTTTCCATTAAAAGTTTTGTGGTGGAAACCCCAGGGGACAGGAAGACCTACAAGCAGTGGAGTAAGGTTACCTTTGATGTGAAGGAGTTTAATTATATTGATTATTTGAATAGTAACTCTTTGCTGGACATCTAACACTTGAACAACAAATAGAAAAGATGTTAAATTCACTGTTCACTTAACATGGCCAGTACTTTGCATCTGTCTGAGAAATGTCAGCACACAATTGGAGCAGGCATCACTGTTTGTTCTCACAGCAACATTCCGTAGGGTATGTGAAAGTATGTGCATTGTATAGTTTTGTATTTGGTACTGTGCTCTTGGAATGTCTTTATATCCATCAGCATTAAATGATGAAATCCTGCAAAGAATGTAAAATTTCAGTGAGAACCAAGGCACCTAAAAATAATTGAAAGCTTTTGGATTCCATCACTAGAGCAGTAATAGTTGCATCTTCATCTCTGTGGAAGCTAATTATGTGCTTAAAACACAGCGCTTTGTGGAAAGCAGTCGACATTTGAAGCTTGATAAAGCCAGTGTTGCTACAGTTGTATTTTCATTCCAGCTTTTTAATGTTTGTCTGTTTTTAAATAGTAATACTTGTTTCAGTGGGTAGAATCTTCAAGTGTTCATTTAACATTTGTGTACATGCTGAGCTAATTGACAAAATGCCAGGGATATTTTGGTTTTGCAACTGAGTGTGAGATCAGGAAGGTAGCCAAGCTATAGCTTGGCATCTTGCCTGTTTGCCACAGCTAGCTATGGCAAATAATGCATACCTTATGGGAACACCGATAGTACTTCTGTATTCTCAGCATTGAAGTGCTTTGTTTTTGGTCCATTAGTGGGGTCCTGCACTACTTGAAGTGTCTGTCTGGCTCTCCGAATGGCGGTCAAGCAGGAGCAAAATATATTGCATGAGTGAAATCAGATTTATAAAATTATGAAATTGTATTTTAGAGGGGACTGGTTTAAAAGGATAAGACCCAATATAATGGATTTAAATTGCAAGAAAGAATATTTCAACTAAGAACTTCCTGACAATAAGAGTTCTTCATAATGGATGATTACATAGCGTGATGGAGTCTCATTTCCCGGAGGTTTTAAGCAAAGGTTGGATGGCCATCTGCCAGGGATGCTTTAATTGTGCATTTCCTGCTCCATCAGAGGACTGGACTTCACAAGCCCTGGGGTCTCTACCAGCTCTGCAAGTCTATGATTTGTTTGATCTTATGGGGTGGAAGATTCTCATGCTGTACAATATCCTGGGCATCTCATGTCAATCTGTATTAATTTCCCCAAGCTGGATTTGTAGGGACTGTAATGATTTGTATTGTTTTGCTATACCATAATTGGACTGGTAGATGTAGTTTTCATTTTCTTATTATGCACACTGCCCAGAGTAGTATTTTTCACTAACTGGGCAGTATAAACATCCAATAAATGAATAAAATATTATAGAAATCTAGACAATAACGATTTTTGCATCTTAAATCAAATTTTGTTACCATTATGTAAGTAAATGCTACTCTGTAAATAAAAGACATGTTATAATTCATACTATGCTGACTCATCACTGACATTTCCTCCACATACCCAATCCTTTAAGCTGATCTTCTAAAACCCTTTTGTTTGTTACAGAAGCACCACAATAGAATTAAAATAATGCAATATAAAAGTAGGCAATAGCCTGTATATAAACACATGTAAAATACAAACTGGTTTATAAAAAGGAAACTATAATGCTTAGATAAGTATGTCAAGTAATGTCCACCCAATAACAGGCAATATTAAGGGCATCTGGGGCAGCTAAGATCAAATCTTCTATAATCTATAGTACATGTTGAGAGGTAGGGAAAAATCGATATAGATGTGACACTGTTTTTCTCTCCCAAATGTGCATCACTTGCACTTTACTCTTTATCACAGCAGTGTTGTCACACTTATTTTAAACCAAGTATGAACAAAAATGAACTAGGATAACACTAAAGTCACAAAGAGTATTTACTGATTTAATGATGCTTTTATTTTTACAGGATACAAATTTTTAAAGTTTTCAACAAGAATTAAAGTGCATAATTTTACAGTATTCCAGCTCCCACCTTTATGAATCAAATATACATATGTTACAGAAATATTTACAAATATCTGCAAATATTTTACAATCTGTACACAATAATAGAAACCTAACTACTTCCACAATCTTTAATGCTGAATTGTATTTTTTTTTTACATTTTGCAATCTATTTGTGGCAAAGCAAAGAAAAAGAGTACAGCCTTAGAAAAGAACATTACCATTTTTACAACTAAGACCCCCCCCATTCAACTGCCAAGTGAAAACATGAAAAACACTTCATGTTGTTCTGATGGCCCTACCCAGCTGCTATTGACAAACGATTCAAAACATATCATCCCATACCTTTCAAGTGTATGTGGCATTGTAAAGGCCATTGTGCAATTGAATTAACTGAGCTTTTTTGCTGATTTATCCCATGTACTCTTTAAAGATCTCTCCCCACCAGCTTCTTGAGAGCAGGAGGTGGTAAGCTTCCGTATACTTTTAGGCAGAATACTAAGGGCATTTTGCATGTATTCCAGTAAAGGGGGGGCGGAATGTGCTTTTCCCTACAAAGGATTAGAAAGTTTGTTCTCATAAGAGAGATTGAAGAAATGCACTGCCTTTCCTTAATTATCTTCTGACAGGTATTTTACACATCTGACAGCATAACTCCACAGTTAAGAGGATTATCATTAAATATTGGACAAAAATATTTTTAAAGAAACAGCTAATCTACTCAATCAGTTTTCTAGGGGAAAAACAAATATACATTCTCTTTCAGAAAAGACAGAACAAGTCAGATGAGCACTGCTAACCAGCAGCACTTAATGTGTAGGTTTCCCTTTAATGAATACAGTACACATAATGGGCATGTACTAATTAGAATTCAAATGATTGCACTGTACTTTGATTCTCAAGTACAGTTCAGATGAACCCATCCCAGAAATAAAAGGTGCAGATTAAATGTCTGACACTTAACATGTTTCCCTGAAAATGAGACAGGGTCTTATATCAATTTTTGCTCAAAAAAAACACATTAGGGCTTATTTTCAGGGGATGTTTTATTTTACGGTCATGTCATCTTCTGGTTGCTGCACAATGGTGAAGGACGGCGTTTCACTTAACTAGGCCTTATTTTTGGGGTAATGTTTATATAACGAGCATCCTGAAAAATCATACTAGGGTTTATTTTAAGGTTAGGTCTTATTTTCGGGGAAACAGGGTAATCTGATATAGTATTCTTTTGCTCAATCAAACTGTTTGAATGTTTTGATCCCTAAAGCTTTTTGTTCAATACAAATTGGAGAAAGAAAGCTGTAAAGAGAGTCAGAAGTCCTATTTTATTATTAATGAGAACATTTAGTTTGCATTGCTGAGTTGCCCTACCAAAAAGAGAGAAACAAAACATAAGGGATGAAATCAAATATATTTCTTCTCTATTCGAAAATGTAGGATTTGGATTAATTTTTTTTTTTGGGGGGGGAAGATAACCTATTAGAAATAAAAATAATTTGCATTATTTGTGCTTAACAACTGATCATCTCTTTTCCTATTTAATTTTGCCAGTATGTTTTACATGAATAAAAACAAGGGAGTAATCACCATGGTTTCTCTGTGTTCGTCAGTGAAGGCACACTGTGAAACACATGTTAGAATCTTAATTCTAAATACCTCACATTAGTTAAAAGTAAGTTCCATTCCTTTCCCTATGACTAAGTCTGTATCCAAAGCCATATTTATCTTATGCAAGTATTACACCAGGGCAAACAGACCCACAGTAATTGGGAGCTGAACTAGGATCACCAATTTCAGGCCTGTGAAGGGCTTCTCTGGAGAATTATTAAGAAGCATTCAGTAGAAAACATATGATGGAGCAACATGGAAAGCACCCTTTTGGATTCTTGCATGAATTAGACTGCTTCTAATTAAAGAGTTCCCACTTCAATTACAGGTCATGCACAAAGCCTCCCAAGCCTACATGCATTGAAGTTACATTTAAACAATGAGGAATCAAGGGCAATAAGCATTTAGTATGTATCACTCTGTGATACGTAGTGATGAACTCTTTTGAGCCTGAGTGCCCACGCTGCAATACAAAACCATGACCATCCCTAAGAGTTCCATTCCTCCGGCCACACAACCTCCAGTGCCTGCTCAGGACACTCCCTGCTCCACCTCCAGCTGCAATCCTTACAGGCACAGGTAGCAGGAGCCAGGTGTTCCCATGCCTGGCGTCTGGGTGTGTGTTCGTGTGTTTGTGATGGCAGCAGCCATTGCTGTCTTGGTTCTCCTGAGCTTTCCAAGAGCTTTTCCTGAAAGCTGGGATCAGAGGACAGGTAAGTATTTCTCAATGGTGACTTATGGCTCGTGTGCCCACAAAGAGGGCTCTGCATGCCAGCTGTGGCACGCGTGCCATAAATTAGCCATCGCTGCTCTATAACATAAACATATGCTACTGCTCAAGCACATCCACTCATTTCTCTTTTTAACTAGATGAGAAATCTCATGGAAATTGTCATATTCGAAAAAAAGGACATAAACATACTGCAATTAAAGCTGAAAATATTAATTGAGAAATCAAAGTGGGGACTTTTAAAATTAGTGTCAGTCTGTTGCTGCAGCTGCAGCCACCATTGTTTCCTTATGCTGGCCTAACTCATGCAAGAGGATTTTGTTTAATAAATATGTGGTTTCATCTCCCACATGAACATATATAGAGCAGTTAAAAATCTGAAAATATGCTCCAAGGAGGTATGATTCATTCTGGTGCATTGACAGGCATCTGCACACCATCCAAACATACAAGCCAGAATCTCCTTGGTGCTGGTATAACATCTGCATAACCCGTTGCAGCTAATTATGGCTGATTGACACATTGCTGGGGGAGGTGATGTCTCAATCACTCCTCTAACTACGTGGTCAAGGTGCTCTCTGGTACCCTATTAATTAACAATTAGTCGAGGCAAGTCATTCAAACTTTATACAAACACCAACAGGATTCTGACCATGGGAAAACGAATGCACGTTGCTACTTCATGTATTATGGGATAAACATAAGTACTATTAATAATGAATAGTATTCAACATGCATATACTTCTTTCTAGTGCAGTTTGAAATTATCCACAGCACATCTTAGCATACCAAGGGTGTGGAACATTTTGCCCTTTGGACAAAACTCCTGTAATCATCTATGCTGGTCAGGACTACCGAAGTTGCAGTTTACAGCTCTTAGAGAGCCAAAGGTTCTATCACCCCTTTGCCAAATAACAGTTGGATAAAATGTGTTGTGCACTCATGGAACCATTACTGTAAATCCAGCAGCTGAGATGCTTTCTTTTCCAATAACAGTAAGCCTCATTTATGCAGAAAAAGCTTCAATCTCAACTTTTTACATGCCACAATGCATGCATAAAGGCTCTAGGCTTCTTCACACCATTCTATTGGCAGGTCAGTTCTGGGTGCCCAAGTCTTTATGCATGTAGTACCTGTCAGGTGGTAAGGATATATAAAAAGCAAACACAAAAATAAGGAGTTGCCAGTTGTCCCTCCTTTCACAATTTGTCTGGCAGCAATTTCACTACTGATTCGCTTCTTAGTCTTGTATGTCTCCATCCTTCAAGCAATATGTTCACCTTTTAGCAAATTCACTTAGAAATATAATCCCTATCATTTAAAATGGCAGTTAATTCATCTCTTTTAAAGAACAAATCCAAAAAACACCACCACCAAAATATTTTTAAAAAATGCTGCACAAAATTTCTGGGAAGAAGATGGAGGAAGCTTTATGAAGCCAAGAACCTACACCATACATACGGTAACTACCTTGTGTCGCAGACCAGCAGAAATAGTCCCCCCCCCCAAATTAATCTGGTATACCTGACAAGAATGTGACTCCATGGTGACTCTTCTTTTTTTCAACATTTCTATACCGCATTACACTTATTTGTCAACGCACCACTTTATGATTATGTGGAATGCACAGTGGAGAAACCCATTTCTTTCCCCCCCTTCAGAAGGAATAATTATTTAGTGATGCTCTAGAACTACTAACAGCCTTTGGCATTAGCACAATGAATCTTGGTTCAGCCACAGAGACAAACAACTGCAAAAGAAAAAGGCCACTCTACACACACACACACACACACACACACACACACACATATACAAAACCTATGATCATGAAAATGCTTAATGCTCTCAAGTACCACTTAAGTTAGAACTAGGCTTTAAGTACAAGGGTAAAAAAATAAATAAATCACAAGAGCTATCAAAATGGCACTGCACTGTAGACTTGTTTCATAATTCAAGACACATACATCCAGCAACAACAGAATCATAGAAACAGTAGAACACTTTCTCAAAATGATAATTCATTTGGTATCTCTGTACTTAACTGAACTACTTTAAACTTTTCAGCCTCTGAAGCTTTTTCCAATAAGCCTGATGCAAACAAAGTTACATCTCCCATTGAAAGTAATGGAACTTAAATTTACTTACATTTGGCATAATTATAGCTGGAATTCTGTTGCACAATTTTATTTTATGCATCTTGGACAACATCATGGACTATAGCCATTCAGGTGAAATTAGAAGTTTACTATCCCACCCTCAGGTTCCAGGTATCCCTAGGGACCCCCTTCATCCCAGAGAAGGAGAAGCCTCTGAGACTCAAGAAACTGGGGGGAAGGAGGTATTTTAATTCCTCAAATCACCACTGTGGGTCCTGGCCCCACTGCTGGTAGCAGCCCCAGTAATTTCTGGAGCTTAAAAAGTCTACCGACCATAACAGCAATGCTTCATATGCCTTAAACACCAAAGTAAAGAATACAATGTTCTTCTGAACTGGCACAGGTATTTTAAGTCACTGTGTAAGTAGTGATGTCTTGGAACAGTTGTTTTAAGACTTAAGTGGTTGAAATGTTCCACGGAGAAGTAATAGCTCCATGTTAAATACTGTTAGTAAACTGAGACACAGCTTCAGCAATGCAAAGTTGATCCCAAGGTCACCCCCAGTAATGACTCACTGTCATTAAATTTAATTCATTCAAATCTGGACTTCTCTTCAACCAGCATCTGAAGCTACCTTTTAAAAAAGATCCCCATTCCTCGATTAAGGGAATACCCTCCATTATCCCCTTAAAACAATTAAGAGGGAAAGATAAGGACTACAATGGAGCATATAGTCCTCAGGTTAGCTCTCAGGTGCTAACCATGACTCACAGTTAGCATTTCATCTGTACCATCCAAACATAATTACAATGACTGTTCATCACAAAAACAAACCTGCAAAACACTAGAGAACATTAAACTTGAGGGAACTTCACAATTAAAAAGCACCAACTAGAATTTGGAGAAACATCCAAATACAATTCACAAAAACTGGATAGCCATCGTAACATCAAATAATACATCTAGGCATTCTACTTAAAATAGGTTTTTCTTAAACTTTGTATAACTTGTGGTGAAAAGATAAGGTGATGAAAATTTGAAAAGAACTACTGGATTTCATAGTCCTAAATTCCATTACCAGTCCCACTAAAGGAGAGCCACTGGATCAACATGACTTGCTTAAGTGCTGATTGAAGAAATTCATATTTATTTAACAAGTACTTTGGAGTCGGGGCTAAAGTTTTAGACTATAGTTGTTTAGGAAGTGTTCTACTTTGTTTGAAACGCCTTTTGAAAACAGAAGTTCCTTGCCTTTATGTTATTTAAGTGAACAATATTGGTGAAAAGGAAAAGCATATTGGGATTAAGTTTAGAAAAAATATCTGTTTCCCCTCTTCACTGAGGCAATTACTTCAACTAATTTCAAAATGTACATATACAACAAATTATTGAATTTTCATTCCAACTGAACCAGTCAAACATAGACTTATTTTAAAGAAAATAAAATTACAGTACTTCTTCAGTTAGAAGGCCAAGCCTAAACACTAAATCCAATATCACAAGTTAATAATGTTCTGCTTAAAATAAAGGTAAGTTTTGGGAATGTTGACAACATTCTAGTTCTGTTATTAGTATGTGTGATGGGAGAAATCAGCTTAAAGGATGGTAATTTTTCCCTTCCTTCCGAAAAATCCTTTGGGAATAAATAAAGCATGGCTCAAAAAATGTAGGAGACAGGATAAGATAAGGAAATCAGATTACATCTCCTTTTACTTTATATTAATTCGAGTAGCCACTAGTTGTGCTTTATGTAAGAGGGTAGGGAGTCCAGTCATATGACACAGACCATTGATACTGAGGGAACTTACTTCAATGCAAGTGTGCTTCAAATACTTTTTATCTAAATATTAAGTGCTAGATAGGTGCTATTTTTAATTATAATAATTATTAAAAAGAATCCCTTCACTCTCCCTCCACATCTGCAGTTTAGAAGTGACAATATTAAGTGTCTCTGACCCTATCCCTTTGTGCTTGATGACCACCACCACCCGTCCCCTACCCTTCTTAGTACTCTCACAGGCATGAAATGTTGTCCATTCCATTTCAAGCAATATGTAGCATCACTGATCTCTGTGACTTCCACATGGCCCCTGCTCTCTCATAGCAAGGCCCCCCAATGAAGCTAAATGGTGGTAGTGATAGCAATAAATATGGACAGCTTTAAAAGTGGATTGGACAAATTCATGGAAGACAAGGCCATCTATCATACTAGTTATGGTGGCAATATATTACTTCCAGTTTCAGAGACAGTATGCCTGTCAACATCAACTGCAGGGAAACATAAGGGGAAGGGCAAGATTGTTCTCATGTCCTATTTGAGGGCTTTCTCTAAGCATCTGACTGGCCACTGTGCAAACCAGAATGCAGAGAGGCTTTTGATCTTATCCAGTTGGACTTTTACATTCTTTAAGGTAGTCAGTTGTGCAATTATATAGAATCCTACCCTGTAGAATCTGATTCCTCCTGTATTGAGCTACTGACATACTGAAACCTATCTGGAAGGCATTGGGTAAATAGTAATGTTACAGTCACTAATGGTAACATGAAAGAGTGCTTTGCACAATTACTGCTTAGCAAAAATGAGAGCAAGACTAAATACAGTAACTATCTTTAAAATGGAACATGGAATATCTGCACAGGTCTCCAAATTAACTTTTAATAATAATATTTTCATTTAATATCTCTGTAACAGAGAATAATTGAACTAGTTTTATTTTCTGTCAGGATTCATCTACATTGGCCCTTTTGGAGTGGGCTGGTACGGTCTAAATAGGGTCACTTATATGTCAATTGATGCAATCCTCATATTCAAATGGCATACGGACCTTAATCAACTCTATTAAGTCCAGCTCCTTCTGCTGTCAACTTCCAGTATTGTGAAATGGCTTGATAAGCAAATCATTTTGGGATGCTGTCAGGGGAGAGGCACGGGAAGTGAATTTCTTTTTAACCCTACTAGACTACTGCTGATGCACTGCATCACTCAGATTAAATTTTAAGCAAATATTTTATTTGTTTTGTCTGAAGTGCTGATCGAGAAACTGACCACAGCCCAAACTGCATTACCTCCACCGAGGAGCAGCAGAAAAGTTCAATTTGCCAATATCCTTACTAAGCCACATGATACTGGAAATTTACAGCAGAAGGAGCCTTGACAGCTTAAGGCTTGCATCTTGGTCCATTCTCAGGGATCACATGTGCTAGAAATGAACCAAACTAGAGCAAGCCTATCCGCACTAAAAAAGAGAGAAGCCCCTGACAGCAGCTCAGAAACCTGCTGGTAGGGATGCTCTGTGGAAAGACTGATTTGCTCTAGCAATTACACCATCTGATCACTGGAAAAAAGAACAAACCTGTCCCTGCAGCACACCAAACAGTGGGACAAAAGCCCGTCTGATTGAGTCCTCGGATAAATGTTGTTCACTTGTATTTCTAACTGCAAAATCATTAGTTACTGCAGATATATCAATCTCACAATGTGAGATAAATTTGAATATTTACTCACAATATATTTGTTACTATGGCTTAAATCCAACTGCTATTGCCAACTAGAATAGATGCTCCTGAATCAATGGAATTTACATAAATTGCTGATTTGCCACTCAACAACTGATTCAATGGGTCTACTCTAGATGGGACCAACAACTGGGTTTAGGCCATTAAGTCTGATTAATAATTAGCTCAATACTGCAACAGGTGACAGGGTGTGCAAGCTTATACATGTATTCTCAGATGCAAGTCCCACTGAATTAAGTGATGCAGACCATCAGTTAAATGAATACAGGATTGCAGCATAAGGTGAATATCTCTAAAGAATAAAGAAACAGCCAGAAATTACACTCCAGTATTCATGTATATATTAAATGATACAGTGTTCAACTGTCTTTGCAGATAGTTGGTACAGTCATATAATAATAATCAGCGGCAGATTCATCACTTAGTTTGAAGGTGTGGGTCACACAATGCAGCCAACACACTGCTGCAACATCTGTATGGTTTTGGAAGGGTTATATAAGCTCTATTCAGGCATCATACTAAATCATGCTTTATTCTAACCAAATCTGAAGATTCAAAAATAGTCTGAACTTCTACACATGCAGGCAAATCCTGGTTTAGAAATGCATGTCAGCTCTATTCTACACCTTATTTGGCACTCCACCTTCTCATTAGCTGAAATCCTGTTGCTTAGCATAGTAAATCACTACTAGAGCAGGCACACTGAATCAGTGAGGATTTGGTGATTCAACCCTTCCATAAGTTACACTGATTCAATGGGCCTACTCTAGTTGCAACTTAGTGCACTAAGCAATAGGATTTCAGTCAATGTAATGGTTTCTGGAGAAAGAGCAATGGTTTTTAACATGAATTGTCATTTTGAGACACCATGTCTAACTATTCAGAAAGCATGGTTTGACTGTGTATTTGCTAACCAACTGCAAACCATAGTTTAGTCTATTCAGATATTATATAATTAAACTTAAAATGATTTGTTTGTGATATTTGAAATGAAGCACAATGTTAAGGTCTGGGTGCTAGTGACCATCTATAAAGGCAAAATACATGATCATAACTGATCATTTAAGACCAAGTTATTAATTAGTGAAGCACTTGTAATATTAAAAAGGTAGCACCACCTTCCAAGGTAACAGGCATGAGATTAAGAAGAGGAATTATTACGCTTTTCCAAACACAGCTAGAACTGACATACCCATTACATGCCATTTGAATTACTTCTACTTTTTAAAGCTCTATATTACTGTATAAAAATATCAGTACTATTAGATATAATCAAGTCATTAGCTGTTTTTAATTTAGAATCCCCTGTTAAATTTTTAAGAGGATGCATGCTTAATTTTAAAATAAATCATAAGCTGTCGTGAACAATATGAAATAAAAAAATATCCAAATTAAGTATAGTACATTTTCCTTCTAATTGCATACCCTACAACTTGCTGTATTTGCTATCTAATGTGTTTTAAAACAGAAAAGAACATTTTCTTAAATAGGTAATTTCAAATGTTAGACATTCTGAACAATGTTCTGACCTCAAACACAAGCTGAAAGAATCTATGTATAAGTCAGTATAAATATTCGCAGTATTTGTATTCAATAAACCAACCTGTCCTTACATTCTACTAAACATTTATTTTGGCAATAGGAGGTATATCTTTTAAACACACAGCTATGAATCCTAGAAGAAACCAAGATATACCAATACTAAGAACATTATGAAAACCTCCATTTCTTCCCCAACAGCATTGATGTCATATAATGAGATTTTCTCAGAAAGTGGTATAGTACAGGAACACTGGTAACTTTTTGATAAAGACATTCATGTAATAAAAAGGAAGTATAGAATGGCTCTGTATGTTACTTTTATTGACATAACATAAATATAAGAAAAAGTTCTCTTTAAAAAGATGAACATGTTTTTCTTTTCCAACATAAAGTGCTATGGAAAATGGTAGAGTTAGAAAAGCTGGCTTTTTGTTGTTTTCAAAAGTAGTGTCAACTCGAGTTTGACTGGGGAAAAACTATATCCTACAGACTTATCAAGCTTCACATTCTGATTTTGCAGAACTGTCATGCTGATCCTCCAAATTCATCTGCAGATCATTTGGGCAGTCTGGTGTTTCACCTTTGACAGCCAAATGGATGACTTTCAACCACTTCTGCTTCAGGTCCTCATTGTCTGCAGCAAAGCTGTGCACAGACTTAGACTGAGTCAACTTGAAACTGTGTGGAAGGTCAGCACTTCTTGGAGTGTCATCCACTGTGTAGCCCAACAACGGAATAGTGGCCAGTGCTTTTACATCCTAAGTAAACAGAAACAATAACCTAAACAAAAGTACTGGATCTGGTGGAAAGCATATGCGACACATTTCTTAATGGATTGGAGAACTTGCTTTATTGAACACCGTATAACTATAAAGCTCAATGAAGGTCAGGTGAAAAACAAAAATGGACAGTTTCAGTTACCATTACCAGCAGACAGGTGTTAGATAAGAAAAAGGATATACAGTGGTGCCTCGCAAGATGAATGCCTCGCAGGACGAAAAACTCATAAGACGAATGGTTTTGGCAATGGGGTTGATGACGCAGGACGAATGTTTTCCATTTTGATGAATTTTTCACAAGACGACATTAACTGCGGAACGAATTAAATTCATCTTGCGAGGCACCACTGTACTGTGGTCATCCATAGAAAAATGGAAATTTTGGGGATCATACACTTAAACATGGGACAAGAAAATACAAACCTTTTTTGTATGCTGGTGAAGGGGAAGATGAGGAAATGAGGCACACAGCATAAATGACAGTTAACAAAACTGCAAACAGAAATGATGCTATCTCACTTCTCATTTATGCTAAGCAGCAGGGAGGGGGTTTGCTGAGGATATTTGTCTTTCATACACACCAACATACCTGTGGTGCACCATACATATACAGTACAAGGGCTTCCTGCTTAGGAATCACACACCAAGCCTTTTGCCATGTTTTGGACTTTTCCAAATATTGGAGAAAACTACATATTACACTGTTTCCAGATACTTCTGCTGATTCAATCTGTAAGGACAGAAGAGGATTGTTTTCTTTCATTTAAAGTAAGCTAGAACATTACTTCTGAGAAATGACTGATTTAAGACCAATCTATCACAGCAAATGTCAGATTAGGCTAAGAAAACAAAGGGAACATGCAGTAAGAGAGAAATCACCACCCTCCTTATTGAAACACTGCTTCACTGTTTATCAAAATAACATGGTGTGGAAGCAATTATATAGCAGGCACTCCTGGAAGGCAAAAGATTGTCGCAAAGATTGCAAGAAAAAAGTTGCTGTAGCATCGTAAGGAGTCTAACCTAAAAGGATCTGAGGGACTCTTTGATGGGCGGAGCATGCGCTGCAAATGTTCTACTAAACACACATCTTAAAGCTCTAGAAAGTCCCAAGGCATCCTGCGCAGGCGCAGATTAACCCAGTCATGTGCAGTCATAGAGACCACGAAGAACTGAATGTAATTAGATAGAAACTGGTGAGCAAAACTGTGACAAACTGCTAAAGGAAGTCACAAATAGGCCCACTGAATCAGTGACGATTTAGTGAGTCAATATTTATGTAAGTTTGTTTAATTCAAAAGTTGCAATTTACTAGCTGAAGTTTCCTTTCAAACTGCATCCACTTGGGGACTTCTATACATTGGGCAACATTCAGATGCAGTGGGCTGCCACATGCCTCCCAGTTTTCTGCAAGCTGCCATGAACATTTAACAGAAAGCATTTCACACTGGCATGCATGTGGCTACACAGCTACCACCACGTGGCCATTCAGTGCAAACTGTTTTTCTGATTTCATCCAAACAGATATAGGAGAGATGAACAACTTTGGTTCATGGAGATTCCCTACCCAAACCTAATTCTCTTCTATTGCCTGGGAAAAAGAACCCCTATGTTTATTTCTAATAAGCAGAGAATGGAAATAACAGGGAAATCCAATGATAGAAAAAGGCATCTTTTCTCCAGTACTGGCACTTTCCAAACATCTGCTTTGCCTGCTCTGCATCCTTCCTGATTGAAGAAGACAATAGGGGTGGGGGTGGGAATTCTGCTTTCTGAGTGGGTTCTGTTGCCTCAAAGAAGATTCTTTGGGAACCTCTCCCCACTTCACCCAAAAACTAGGAAAATGCAGGTTCGGTGAAGCACCAAGGTACCAGCTGGAGCTTTTCTGGACAGTGCCTCAATTGGGAACCTGCCATGGTTCCCAAAAGCATCTCCACAAGAAGAGAAACTACATGGAGAATGAAACCAAGGTGCTACTTGGAGAAATTCCAGATGGTTAGGACCCTGATGGTACCAGTCGTATGGTCTATTTCAACAGTACATGTTTGGCCTTATCCCGTGACATCATCTGCTCGTGGAGGATTCTGAAGGGGAAAATCTGGCCCCTCCTCCCAACAAAGTGTCTCCACCCCTACAACAGAGTACAGTTTCAGAGCATGTTCAAAAGTTGTGAATATTCATTCTATGAAAGCATTCCTCAAAGACAAAATTCTAAGAAACAAAGACGTATTTCTAAGAAACAAAGACATATTTCTAAGAAAAAATAGCATAACATGCACAAGACACTAAAATAATTAGTTTACAAACATACCTCCAAGATTCCTCTCTTTTTCTTTTCTTCACTATCTGTGCACCCTGTTATAATGTGGTAGCAGTCTTTACAAACTTTGTTCAATTTATTGCTATCATATTCAAGATGAGCTTTATAATCAGAACACTTCCAGCAAACCACCTTAAGAGGAAAGAGAAAGATTTTAAAGGAGCATTATATTCCTTCCCCACACTTTCATTTTCAGTGGTGAGATTTTGTAAAATGAATATCTCTTAATATTTTCTAGATCAGGGAAGCTGCAAACAATGAAAAATGAAAGTTATCCATTCTTGTTATAAGGCAGGTTTTTCCACCCTTCAGTCCTGTCACTCGTAAACCAATTCTGCCCAAAACAATGTAATATTGGTAAAAATGTTAGCTGGTAAACTCCTCCTATTCCACTTTTAACCAGCATGTGAGGAACTCCTCTTCCCTAGTGGAATTAATACTGTAATCCAAAAGTCATTTTCTCTCTCCTGTGGATTGGTGGGTGGGTAGATGATGGGAGATAGAATGAAAGAGATGTAATACTCACTAGATATATAACACTACACCAGGCCAGAAGTGGGAGATGGAAATTTTGCTTGTGAAATGGAAGGATCTGTGATTCTAAGGCAAAAAGCATGCCACACATTAAGATCTAGGGCAGAGGTGGGGAATCTTTGCCCTGTACCTTTGATGAACCCCAGTTTTAAAGACTCTGGGACTTTTACTCCAAAACATCCAGAGCAGGGGTCGTCAACCCCCAGTCCGCGGCCCAGTGCTGGTCCATGGGCTTGCCAGAACTGGGACGTGGATACGGATCTCCACCCCCTGCATGCGTGCACGGTGGGTGTGTCATGCCTATGCTGTGGGGTGTCGCGGCGCAGTGGGCATGTCACGCTTGTGCGGTGGGCATGTGGCACCCACGGTAGGTGTGTCACGCTCGTGTGTGTGTGTGTGATGCCCACGGTGGGCTTGTCACGCTCACGCGGGGGCATGTGTGTGTGTGTGTGTGTGTGTGTCATGCCTACGGTGGGCTTGTTACGCCCACGCGGGGGCGTGTCACACCTGTGGTAGGCGTGTCGTGCTCATAGGGGGTATGTCGCACTCACAGATGGTGTGTCATGCTCGTGAGGGAGGCATGTCATACTCGAGCGTGACACGCCCACTGTGCTCACGCAGGGGTGCCCCCACCTTCCCCACACATGGAGCTCGCTCCTCCCCAACCGGACCACGGCCCCAAAAAGGTTGGGGACCGCTGATCTAGAGCACCAAAGATTCTGTACCCTTAATTTAGGAAACATGCTTCTGCCTGAACAGAAACACACACCATTTTCATCTGCTAATCTGGCCTGAGACCTATCCAAGGCATGACGTACAAGCATTCTGAATACATATATTGCTTAAAAAAGAACTGGAACACTTATAATGTACAAGAAAATAAAATCCTTTCAATTTATGACTAAAGTCAATTTCAAAAACAGCAGATATCTTATTCCCAGTGCTCTGAATTATAACTCTGTATTGAGCAAAGCCATACAAAATTGTAACTCATTGCTCTGAGACCAAGAAATCGCCTGCTACGTTCAAGGCAAATTGTAATTAGCTGAATGTGCCCTAGCTTATTGGCTGTAGAATCAGATACTACAGACAGCTTCAAGTAAGGCAAATTTTAGTTCAGGAGCATATTGTCATCAAATCAGTAAGCTGAGACCCATATGAACTAAAGCATATTGTATGTTACTAAGGAAACATTTTTATGAACAAATGCTGTGAATATTTATCCTATGAAAGCATTCCTCAAATACACATTTTGTATTTTCCACAAGGGGGCTCAGTTTTGCTTCATACAGTGAAGCTCCTACCCAGTTTTGATGTGTTGCTATGACAAGCTTCAGCTGCAGCAAAACAGCATTTAGAAAACACCAGATGGAGTTTCTCAAAAGGTTTTTGGCTGCTTTTGCCTCTGGTTAACCAGCTAGCAGATGCTGCTTTGTGCTTACATGCCCACATGCTCGGCAATGATGCCTCCTCCTTGTCAGTGCATTGAAGGGCTCTTTGCATTTCATGCACATGGTCACTTCATTGTCTCGAATCCATCTTGGTGCTCTCTTCCCAAGTTCAGCTGTCTGAAGAGGAGGAGGAGAGGACACATTGTGGGATATGATTAGTACAGAGAACAACCACTTTCTTCCATTAGAAAAGCAGCAGCACAACACAGGCTGTTCTACAACCTAAATGACATATTTTGACCTTACATTAAATGAAATTGATGGCTGCATGATGAACACCCCAGTTTGCCTACATGTAAATACAGCAGAATTGTCCCTTGATAGCTCTGGTAGCAGCAACCAATGAAGTCAAATCCAGCAGGGCAAATCCAGATCATGATGTGTAGCCACAGGATAAATTGTATTAAATGTTACTTGGCAGGGGGATGTTAGCTGTTTGGGGTGATGCTTTTGCATCTACCTCAGTCTACAACTGCAGCAGGATCCAAGACAAAACAGAACTACTGGAAAGACTACTACAGAGGCTGGATTCAATGACCCATAGGGTCTCTTCCAGCTCTGCAGTTCTAAGATTTTATATTAT